ACTCCCCTGTCTGCAGTCCCCTGTCCGGTTCGCTCCCCTGTCCCTGTAAACCTCGTTCCACGAGGAGTAAGGGATGTTTCGGAATAGCGCTCTATTTCAAAATTAACTCAAAATAGGTTACTCAACTTGTGTAGCTTATTTCAAGTTCCAGGTGCAACCTAGGAAAGACTTCCTAACTATCAAGGTAGTTAAGCACTGGAATAAATTTCCTAGGAAGGTAGTGGAATCTCCATTACTGGAGATATTTAAGAGCAGATGGGATAGACACCTGTCAGAGGGGATCAGACAGTGCTTGGTCCTTCTGGGAGCACAGGGGACTGGACTTGATGACCTCTCGAGTCCTGGTCTAGAATTCGAGGCTTTATTCTGTCATCAAGAGAGGAAGTTCCGAGGAGAGGAGGGGCTCTACCGTCACTCTCTGGGAGTAGAGCTGGGGTGCACACAGCTCCCCCTTGTTTCTGGCTCCTCCTGTGAAATGTCATCATTTTCCACAGGTTATTCCATCCGTCTGTGAAACTGGCCCCCAAAGGACTGTTCACTTCGGAGGAGTCATTCTCTTCCTCCTCGCCGTGCAATGGGGCCTGTAGGGCAGGAGGCCTGGCCTTACGATGAGGAGAACTGAGGCGGCCACCTCAGGTGCCAGACTGTGGAAGGGCACCAATAGGACCCAGAGGGTAGAAAATTGTGTCTGCTGCTGGTGCGTGTGTAGGTACCAGAGCAGAACCATGAGAGCAGTAGAACAGGAAGAAGGCAGAATCGAGACCTTTCAAAGATTTGGCCCAAGCAAGGTGGCAGGGGGGGCGGCATTTGAGCTCCCCGCCTCAGGTACCAAAATGTCGTGGGCTGGCCCTTTAGGGCAGCAACAGCAGCTGTGGTGATAGTGGGGCATTTTCCCACCCTTCTCAAAACAAGCATAAGGGCCAGACCTCAAGCGGCAACTGGCCACCTCCCAGACCGGGGTGTTCCCATGTTTATTAAGCTCCCTGCCTCAGTGGATCCTGGTCCTCCCATTGACGGTGGAGCGAGGGTTGCCAGATGGTTTCAACAAAAATACCGGACACACTTGATTGACATCACAATCGACATTCCATCTGAGTTAGGAAACACTGGACAGTTCTATTTCCTCATTTCTATTTTCTCAATTTGTTTCCCGAACAGAAAGCTCAAGTACTGGCCTGTCCAGTTCAAAACCAGACACCTGGCAACCCTATGAGAAGGACCAGGAGCTCTAGAACCATTCCACACTAACCACTGGGCCTCACTTCCCTCCCACTCCTGGCTCCCACCTCCTTGAGCAACCACTAGCCCCTGTAGAGCGAGGGACAAGATCCCAGCACCCACTTCCCCCAGGGCTCCTACACTGGTGCAGCCTCCTGATCCCCCAGTGGAGGGGAGAAAGGAAGTGCCGTGTCTGAATTCGAAAACCCACGGGGGTTGAGTGAGGCCGGGAGATGTGGGGGGCCCGACCCTGGATGCAAGCCTCACGGATGGGGAGGAGCCTTACCTAGGAGCAGTCAACGGGGAGAAGGCCAGGATACCTCAGGCAGAGCTGGGGTGGGTGAAGAGACAGCCCAGACCCCGACAGGCTGGGCTCAGAGTGGTGCCCAGACCTGGAAGGCAGGGACTGAATTGCGGCCGGTGCTCAGAGCTGTGGGGTGAGCAGGCTGGTTACACCCTGGCAGCCCTTTCACAGATCCATGTGTAGGAAAACCCACAGGGCTCATCGTTCCACAGGCCGGTCTCCAGCAGCTGGGCACAGTTCTCGGCCTCACCCTTGCCCTCGGGTGTGGGAGAGAACAGGTTATTGGGCTCCCACCTGTTCCAAAACCTGAACGAGAAGAAAGAGACGACTCCTCAGAACCCATAGCCACTGACTGCGCTCCCTCCGGGGATACCATTCCCTTCGTGTCCACGACATTCCCCTTCCAGGGGACGGAGCTCTTATTCTGAAGAGTCTACGTGACTGTGGGGCCAAAGCCAGCGTGATGATGGGCTGAATCGAGATAACAGCCTACTACTAGGTAAAGCAGCTGGGGTAAGTGCTGGAGAGCTCATTTTGTAGGCCCACCTTATCTGGGGGAGAGGCTCCCACCCAGACACCCCACGGCAGCACAAACTTGCCCTCCCCATGTTTCCTCAGACCAGCCCTGCAGTAGAAAGACCCCACCCCATGGGCTGAGGAGGCTGCTCCCTCCCCATGGCCCAGTCAGTCAGCATCCAGTGCGCTCAGTGCACACCTTTCCCACAGGGAAGTACGCTGAAGCCCAGAGGAGAAGCATGTGGTTGCTAGGGACCTGGGCCACATTCGAACCAGTGACCTGCAGGGGACTGATAAGGCCTCAAGTCGTTCAGCCCCCACAGGTTGCGCCATCCCATCAGCGTTAGAGCCACGAAGTACCTGCAGGGGCAGCTGGGGAAGGCTGGAGCAGGGAGAGGAGAGCAGAGGCCCCAAAGAACAGGACTTACGTTAATGTCAGAGGAGTGTCGTCCACCCAGCGCCAGTCGCCTTCACGCTCTTGGTCGGTGAGGCCGATCCAGTAACGGACGGACCCACCTCTATGGACCAAGTAACCCTAGAGAGGGCGACACAGCGAGTGGGGTGGTTAGAACTGGACTCAGACCCTGCGGCGTCTACTCAGGGAGCGCGCCCATGGCAGGAACTTACCCCCAGCCTGAGGCTGGGCACCGGCCCATCTGCGAGCGCGCTCAGTGCTGCACGTGCCAAAGGAGGTGGACAGGAGCCCAATTCTCCTCTCCCCCTAGCAGAGGATGCTGGGGATGGAGGCTTTGCCAGAGGAGGAGGGGAGGCTGTGCTGGTCTCGGCCCAGAGTGGGCAGACGGGGCACTGAGCCTGGGAGACCCTTAGAAATGGAAAGTGCTCACCCGGCTTTTCTCCAACAGCTTCCCCTGTTCCCTCCCGTTTGCTGGGCTGAGCTTAGAGAAGGAACCCGCCCCCCTGCGTGTGTGAGTCTCGATGGAACCAGAGCTGGTAACAATTCCCCTGTTGCTGTCTGACCCATTTCTACCCTGGCTGGAGCTGGTAGATGAGCAGGAGTGGGGCAGCAAGATGACCCAAAAAAACTAAGGTCAGCGGCTGTGTCCAGCACCGTCCAGTCCTGGCCCTTCCCTCCCGGCAGACACCCCTGGGCTCTGCGCTCCGGGGGGACCTGGCCGGATAGTGACGTGCTCTTGGGCCCCTGGGACTCTGAGCCCTGCCGGGTAAACACCTGTCCCATGAGCCCAGCTGCTCTGCTTCCCCGTCCCTCCTCCAGCCCCCACCGCTGCCTGCACCTCGGCCCGTCACTGCGCTGCTGCCCTCCAACACAGCGGGGCCAGGGCTGGGCCTGTCACTGCCGGATCCCTGCTCCAGCCCTGCCCCTTCTCTTTGCTTTCCCACCCGGCCTCACACCAGCCCCCTGCCCACAGCCCTTCCTCCCTGGGATGGGTGGGGCTCAGGGCTTGTCCCACCCGGCCTCACACCAGCCCCCTGCCCTCAGCCCTTTCTCCCAGGATTGGGTGGGGTCCAGGGCTCCTACCTGCTCCGTTTGCTCACTGATCACCACCAGATCCGCACCCTGGGCCAAGCAATTGTTTCTGGCCACCTGCCAGGTCCCGTTAGTGGAGGAGAAAAGGTAGCAGCTCCCCTGGAACAGCGCCCAGCCGGGCAGGCACCGGGGAGGACCTGGCGGAGAGAACACAGCCGGGCTGGTCTGGGACTGAGGGGCTCCCACCCCGACAATCTCAGCCGTCCCCCAGGGCCTGGCAGCTTCACAGGAGCATCCGCCAGCGAGGCCCCATCCAGGAAAGTGTCTTGGTGAGTGGTCAGCTTAAGCCGCCCCCAAACCCACATGCTGATGAGGGGACGATTCCCAGCCCCACACATGGGCCAACCCCCTCCTCCCATGCATCCCCATGCACCACAGAGCAGCCGATTCCTCTGCCCACCTGACAATGCGGGGCCAGGCCCTTCCTGCGATCCAACAAGGGGCAGTTCCCTCCCCACGGGCCAAGAGGGGCCAACCCTCCCTCCCCAACACCCCCATGAGAATTTTATTGTGAAGCCCCCGATTTGCTGGCTCTAGTCTTACCTGCTGTGGTCCTGTGGCTGGTGGAGTTGGGGGCCCCTTGCTCTGTGGGAGAAGGGCTGGCCTGCAAAACTAAACACAGCCCAGACGTCACTGCCAGGGACGCCCAGAGAATTCACCTGTTATCAGCACCAGCTGTTCCAAGGGGACTGGGACACTTGTCCCATAGTTTAGTGGTGTAGCAATGGGGAGACTGAGACCCCTTGGGCCCCACACAAGGGCACCTGATCCCCATCTCTATGCACCCCTAAAACAGAGGGAGATGGTGCAGCGCCCAACCCTGCCTAATGCCTGAGCCCAACCTCCCCGCACCAATGTTCCCTCTTGTTTCTCCATCCATGTATGTGTGACTCCCTTTTTCCTTCCTGGGAGCAGGTCGCACTCACAGGTGTGCCTGGGCGCCTGATGTTTTTAACTTAAAAGAAGATCCCAAGTGCCCCAGTGGTGATGTTGTTTAACTGGGGATTCCCTGCCCATCCCCTTGCTGCAGTCCCTCGCTCCTAAAGAATATACAATGGCGGAGCCTCCCCCTGGCTGGCTCTGTACACACTTGTGCAATGGCGGAGCCTCCCCCTGGCTGGCTCTGTACGCACTTATGGTGCACCTCGGGAGCCTTGGGAGCCTCCAGGATTAAAATTATTCTAGTAATACTCTGTATCTAATTCCAGAACAACAATGATAAACAATAGATATCTCATTGATTAATCTAGTAATACTCTGTATCTAATTCCAGAACAACAATGATAAACAATAGATATCTCATTGATTAAATGAGAATTATCACACCTTTACTTAACAACTTATAGAAACCAGGTTCAACAGATTAACAGTGAACAAAATCAATTAAGAAGTCCACAGAAAGAAAGGAAACCTATCTATCTGGCATTTCTCTCCCCCATGTATCCCACCCCAGAGTGTGCACTCCCCTGCATTGGGAGTCCCAGAGACTTGCTGGTGTGGGTGGGCAGGTCTGCAGCTGGGGTGGAGACAGCCCTGTACAGATTCTGTGTGTTAGTCCAAGTGGAGCAGCCAGCTGCAAAATCCCTCTGCCACTGGAGCAGGCTCCACCAAATGCCAGCAGCTCTGGTTCCCTGGGCAGGTCACTTGGCCTCTCTTTGGACCCAGAGCCAGTCTGTCTTCTGTGCTCCATCCTAGGCAGCACTTTCCCAAAGAGCCCAGTTACTCACAGTTACCTCCGGTGTAGGCTTATGTAGGCTCTTCCCAGCCACAGGCATGGCCAGGATCTCTCCCCTACGGGGACAATCAACAGCAGCTGCCGAAGCAGCCTGCTAGATCCAAGCCCCAACAGGCTCTCAGTCACAAGCTCTAGCTGCAGCACCAGAGCTCCTGGCTTGGGAAAAGCTCCACACCAGCAACCTGGCTCCTCTCGCCCAAAAATGGAGCCTTGCCTAACTCTCTTTATCCATTCCTGGGAGAGAGCCATCATTCCCCCCTTTTCCCACGGGCTCATGGGACTTGTAGTCTCTAGGGCTACGTCTACATTGCATCCCTCTTGCTCAAAAGCCTATGTAAATGAACCACAGATTAGTATATTGCCACGCTCATTTGCATAATTAATTAGGGGCCATTTTTCCACAAGAGGCTTTTGTGCAAAAAGGAGCCATTTACACATCTCCTTTTTGTGCAAAACCCCCCTCTTGCACAAGAGCCGTTCTTCCTGAAAAATTGAGGAAGTATGGTTCATGTCAAGAGGTGGTTTGTGTGGATAAGGGGAATGAGGGTGCATGTATGGAGTCCTGTGGTAAACACGACTTGAGTAAAAGTCAAAGTATCACAAAAATAAATTACTTCAGTAAAGTACAAACACCGAACAAATGTACTTGAGTCGTGTAACCAAATATTTCTACTTAGTTACTTTCCACCTCTGCCTGAAGTATCCCTCTCAGTGATGGCGCCCAGCTGTGACGGTAGATGGGCCATCTGTGGAACTGAACAGAGCCCCGCTGTGAGCCTCAGGGACCTCATACCCTTCTGCCAGCGCGCAGGTTGGCAACTCCTCATCGTCTCTGTTATCGGGTGAGGCAGGAATCCCACAGCAGGGTGCCCCAA